TTTTTTTTTTTTTTACTTCTTCCTCCTGTAGTGTTCTCTTGCCCCCCATGTAGCTGGGATCACAAGGTCCCGCCGTCTTGTTGTTGTTGTTGTTGTTGAGACGGGGTCTCACTCTGGCTCACTCTGCTTCAGGCGGGTCTTCAACTGGTCTCAAACCTCTGAGCACAGGTGATCCACCCGCCTCGGCCTCCCACAGCACTGTGACAACAGGCGTGAGCCACCACGCCCTGCTGCCCTTACCTTTCCTACTGGGAACCTAGACTAGTTCCTATCAAGGCTGAAGAATATGCAACAATGATAAAAGAACAATGGACCAAAGTAGAGGAATAATATGGGTTATAGTGGAAGGGGGTGGAGAACAGCTTCGTCTGTACTGCCAGTTAGATGGGCTATCTTTCAATGTCAGCAGAGCTGGGTCCCTGCAGGGTAGAACCTGTCAGCCTGCCTTCAGGTCACTGAGCACAAGGAAAATAAAGAAAAAATGTAGGACTTCCTCTGAGTCATTGCTTAGTTTTCTTAGTTTTAACACTTATCAAGCACTCAAGGAGGACATAACTTGCAAACTACCTCAATTTTCTTTGACAGAAACCCAAGAGATTAACCAAGGATTTCCAGGAGAGTAAGAAAGAAATACTGGTGGTGTATTTCCTCAGCACAACTCTTGTCAAAAGAAGTAAGCTATATATGCCAAAAGTTTCTATCCCTGTGTTTCTTTCTTTCTTTTCTCAGTGTTTCACTCTGTCACCCTAGGTAGAGTGCCATGGCATCATATAGCTCACAGCAACTTCAAACTCCTGGGCTCAAGCAATCCTTTTGCCTCAGCCTCCCAAGTAGCTGGGACTACAACTGCCCGCGACCACACCCAGCAAGCTTTTCTATTTTTAGTAGAGATGGGGTTTCGTTCTTGCTCAGGCTGGTCTCAAACTCCAGAGCTCAAGCAATTCACCCTCTTCAGCCTCCTAGAGTACTGGGATTACAGGCACGAGCCAGTCCCATACTTGTGTTTCTATCTGGAACAATAACTCTGGAAATACATCAAGACCAGCCCAGGAATGGTTCAGTCTGAGTCCACATAAATGGAACAACTGAAGGAACAGAAGTTGTCTGGCCTAGAAGAAAGCAAGCTTAGGGGAGGATGGCTGGAGAAGGAATTGGAATGCTGATCTCAGATTAAAGACATCAAATGAAGGCAAACTAGAGTTACTGTGTGACACTGGAAGAGGGGACGAGGACCAGTGAGTCCAGGCTACAAGGATCATTTCAGATTAATAAGGAAGACTTTCTCCACATAAGGAACTGTGTGTAAGGCTCAGCGCCCATAGCACAATGGTTATGGTGCCAGCCATATACACGGAGGCTGGCAGGTTCGAACCCAGCTGGGCCAGCTAAACAACAATGACAACTACAACAAAAAAAAAAATAGCTCGGCATTGTGGTGGGCACCTATAGTCCCAGCTACTCAGGAGGCTGAGGCAAGAGAATCGCCTAAGCCCAAGAGTTTGAGGTTGCTGTGAGCTGTGATGCAACTGCACTCTACTGAGGGTGACATAGAAAGACTCTGTCTCAAAAAAAAAGAAAAGGAACTATGTGTACGATGAGGGGAGGATGAGCAGCAAAGCTTCTTGGAGGTAGTGAGCACCCAATACAAGAGAAAATAAACAGAAAAATAAATAAATATAGAGAGCAAAAATAAACAGCACAAAACAGAGAAAACACTTGGCTGAGATCTATCAAGAGGATTCACTTTCTAAGCTGTGGCCTAGAAGATTTCTGAGGTCATTTCTGGCTCTGAAGGTATATATAGTCTCTTGGATTTTCAACAGCCCTCTTCAGACACCTATACCTCTGACTGGGGGGAAGAGGGCAGAGTGGAAGATTGGAGAACAGACCAGAAGTTTGGGGCAGTGCTGTGCACACAGCAGGCACCAAACAAGCATTTGGCAGTGGAGGTGAAGCTGCCTGCAGACTGGCCCCATGCAGAAAGATGCTCTGGACTTGCCTCTGCAGAGGAATACCCGGAGGAGTATCTGGATTCCAGTTCCCCATCACTAAGAGAAAAGGAAAACAGTCAGTTTAGGGGGACATCTGTGGAACACAGCTGCAAATGGCAAGGTGGAGAGCATGCAAGGGTGTCTGGAAGAGTTACAAAGCATGGACTTCACAGCCTAAAACTCAAACCCAAAATGTGCCTTGAGCAAAAGTAGTTCCTTCAATTGGATCTTGTAGGGACAGGGTCACTCTCATTAACAGTCCAAACATAACAGTGCAGGATGATTCCCCCAGATAACACTGGTTCCCCAAATTCTAGAGCAGCATGATTACCTATGAGTCATCTAACCGAGCCATGAAAGCATAGTGCCCAGAAGGGAACAGACTTGGGATGTACATGAAGGACGGTGGAGGAGACAAGAACAAGCAAAAGCACCAAGCAACCTGCAGTTCTATCCAAGTCACTCCAGAAGGGATGTTTCTTTTTTTTTTTTTTGAGACAGAGTCTCACTATCTCATAGCAACCTCAAACTCAAGCAAGTCTCTTGCCTCGGCCTCCCAAGTAGCTGGGACTACAGGTGCCCACCACAGTGCCCAGTTATTTATTTTTTATTGTTGTCATTGTTGTTTAGCAGGACCAGGCCGGGTTCAAACCTACCAGCCCCAGTGCATGTGGCCAGTGCCCTAACCACTGAGCTATGGGCGCCAAGATCCAAGGGATGTTTCCAAGGAAAGCACTCACCTGTCAGAGTCGAGGGACACCAGGTTTTCATCTGGAGTCTGGCTAAGAGCAGTATAGCCCTTGTTAAACTTCACTGCCCTGAGGAAGAAGAGACTAAGCATTGATGAAAGCACTGGCATTTCAAAGAGTCCTTGCCCCTATAGAAAAAGAACTGTGGCTCAAGGAGCAGGGCACTGGCTCCATATACCAGAGGTGGCAGGTTCAAACCCAGCCCCAGCCAAAGAAAAGAAAAAGAACTGTGCTATTCCTGACTTGCCTTCTATCTGGCCACAAAGCCGCCACTGCCTGCAGCTCCTTGTACTATTTAATTTTTTTTTTTTTTTAGTTTTTTATTTTTTGAGACAGAGCCTCAAGCTGTCGCCCTGGGTAGAGGGCCATGGCATCACAGCTTACAGCAACCTCCAACTTCTGGGCTCAAGAGATTCTCCTGCCTCCGCCTCCCAAGTAGCTGGGACTACAGGTGCCCATAATGCCCAGCTATTTTTTGGTTGCAGCCGTCATTGTTTGGCTGGCCAGGGCTGGATTTGAACCGGCCTGTATATGGCTGGCGCCTTAGCTGCTTGAGCTACAGGTGCCAAGCCTTTTTTTTTTTTAGTGAGGGTCTCACTATGTCACACTCAGTAGGGTGCTATGAAGTCATAGCTCACAGCAACCTCAAACTGTTGGGCTTAAGCGAGTCTCTTGCTTCAGCCTCCCAAGTAGCTGGAACTACAGGCACCCACCACAATGCCTGGGCTATTTTTTTGTTGCAGTTGTCATTGTTGTTTAGCAGGTCCAGGCCAGGCACCAACTAGCCAGTCTCAAGCCACGTACAAATTTCCCTCCACTGCTCAAGGGAAAAAATACACCTCCCCTTTCATGAATCAGGAAAAGCATTCTCCCCCATTCCCACTTTACTTAATCAGAGGACAGTAAAACTGCAAATCCATGGGCAAACTCCTTCACTTCTCCAAGTTTTAACTCTTATCTGTAAAAGGAGGCACTGGATAAGGTATTATCCAGCTCTAAGAGTTTAAAATTCTGTTTTAAAAAAAATCAAACAAGGCTCGGAGCCTGTGGCTCAAGCGGCTAAGGCGCCAGCCACATACACCTAAGCTGGCAGGTTCCAATCCAGCCCGGGCCCGCCAAACAACGATGGCTGCAACCAAAAAATAGCCGGGTGCTGTGGCCGGCGCCTGTAGTCCCAGCTACTTGGGAGGTGGAGGCAGAATTGCTTGAGCCCAGGAGTTGGAGATTGCTGTGAGCCATGACGCTAGGCACTCTACCCAGGGCTACAGCTTGAGGCTCTGTCTCAAAAAAATAAAAAGAAATTAAAAAAAATCAAACAAAAAACAACACTAGCTGTTCCCTCAGTGCTGTCCATCCTCATTCCTGGGGACTCCAGCCACCATTCTCCTCCCTAACTGGAAACTCGGTGAATGAGCCGGTGCAGTGACAGAACCCCCTTATTCCAAAGCCTTTCCCTGATACCATCACCTCTATAAAAGAGGTTGTCCTTCTTCCCATTTTAAAGATAGTGAACCTGACAGACTGCTGTCAAGGGAATTCACTAGCTTGTCCTTAAACGACGTTAGCACCCTGTCTCCCAGTCTGAGTGAGGTTGAAGGACTTTTCTGAAAGCTGTCCGCATAGAGGAGGTGTCGCTCGCTGAGACCTTTTCCCTGAAGAGTCGGGGCGGTTCGGCGAGGCGCCCAGCATGCCTTTTCTCCGCAGAACGGCCTTGGCCAGGTCCCGGTGCTTCTCTGGAAGTTAAAGGGCTCGGGTGAGCCGGATCTTCCCCATTCTGCAGTGTCTCCCGAACTCGGGAGGCCGCTCTTTCCGAACGGATTTTCAGGGGCGGGAGCAGGCTGCAGCTAACCATTCCCTTTGGGAGACTGGCCCCGCTGAGTTCCGGAGCCCGTCCTGGGGAGCCCGCAGCCCGCCGGGGCAGAGACCTCCCCCCACCATCCGGCTACACTCACGGAGCTTGGCCTGAATAGAGGGTGCGCGCGTCACCAAGTAGGGGCCCCTCTTCTCCATGGCGGCGGGAGTGCGCTCCCCCGGCCGGAGGGCTCTGGTACTGCTCTGCACAGAGAGAGGCCCTGCAGCTCCGGCAACTCGGCCGGTGGCCCCGCTGGGCCGAAGTCCTGGGACCTGAGCCGGGATCGCACGCCCGGTGGGCTCCGCGGTCGCCATGGCCTGGCCACGCCCCGCCGTAGCGCAGCCCCGCCCAGTGTCTAAGAAGACGTAGGCCGGGCAGGGGCGGGCCCTCCATTAGCAAAATGGCGGCGCGCAAGCGCGGGCTGCACCATCGGGACCTTTCCGGCCTCGCGCGCTGGAGAGTTGGCCCAGCAGTTCCGCCCTTCTTTGGGACTGGGTGGTGTGGTTCCCGCTATTCCGGTTCAATTCGGAACTTGGTCGGGCTAAACTTGGCAATGTTTAGGCTCAGTTCTGTCTGGGAGGCAGTGGGTGTGGTCAGACGGGCGCCTGCCGTTCATGCCATGGTCACAGCAGAGCTGACTCTGGAGGGCTTGGCTTGCACAGAAAATAGTCGAATGAGGAAGAGAGATATCAGGACCCTTCTCTAGAAAAGGAAACAGGCCCAAGAGATTCAAGGACTTTGCTGACGTGACACAATTAGGGGCAGTTCCTGGGCTGATCTGACGCCAAACCTCGTATTTTTCTCAACATCACTCAGTACCTAAGACTACCAGGCCTGACCCTCTCTGAAGGACTCGGTTAACTTATTTTAAAATGGACCCACTGTCATTACCTGTCTTGCAGTGACAAAGGCAAACAGGCGCTAGAAAAGAGGGTAAAAGTGCACTCGGAGTCTGTGTGGCAGGGTGTATGTCAAAGCTCTTGACCCCCTGGCTCCCAAGGGATGTATGTGCTTGTGGCTGACTGGAAAAAATCTCCAGATTTTTGTAGCAACTGCTAAATCTCATGAGGCTGTCCCTAGGCTAATTTATTGGCAACCACAAGGAGGTCAATAGTGTGCAACCTCTGAGCTTTCAGGGCCACCCACGCTGTTGTGCAGTAATGTGCCTTGGTAGTAGGGTCGAGGTTTTGTGTGTTTTTTTTTCTTTTTTGAGACAGAGTCTATGTTGCCTTTGGTAGAATGCTGTGGCATCATAGCTCATGGCAACCTCAAACTCTTGGGCGCAAGCGATTCTCTTGCCTCAGCCTTCCTAGTACCTGGGACTACAGGTACCCGCCACAATGCCCAGCTATTTTTAGAGATGAGGTCTCGCTCAGGCTCAGGCTGGTCTGGAACCTGTAAGCTCAGGCCAGTCACATGCCTCGGCCTTCCAAGTGTTGGGATTACAGGAGTGAGCCACGGAGCCTGACAGGATCGAATTTTTTTTTTTTTTTTTTTTTTTGGTAAAAACAGAGTCTCACTTTGTTGCCCTCAGTAGAATTCCATGGTGTCACAGCTCACAGCAAGCTCAAACTCTTGGACTTAGGCGATTCTTTCGCCTCAGCCTCCCAAGTAGCTGGGACTACAGGTGCCCACCACAAGGCCCGGCTATTTTTTTTGTTGCAGTTTGGTGGGGGCCGGGTTTGAACCGACCACGCTCTCGGTATATGGGGCCGGCACCCTACTCCCAGAGCCACAGGCGCCTCCCCATAATTTTTTTTTTTTTTGAGACAAAGCCTCAAGCCGTCTCCCTGGGTAGAGTACTGTGGCATCACAGCAACATCCAACTCCTGGGCTCAAGTGATTCTCCTGCCTCAGCCTCCCAAATAGCTGGGACTACAGGCACCTGCCACGACACTCGGCTATTTTTTGGTGCAGCCGTCATTGTTGTTTGGTGGGTCTGGGCTGGATTCGAACCCACTAGCTCAGGTGTATGTGGCTGGCGCCTTAGCTGTTTGAACCACAGGCGCCAAGCCTCTTTTTTTTTTTTAAAGCAGAATCTTCATTTTGTCACTCAGTAGAGTGTCGTGGCGTCACAGCTTGCAGTAACCTCAAACTCTTGGGCACAAGAGATCCTCTTGCATCAGCCCCCCAAGTAGTTGGGACTACAGGCACCCTCCACAACCCCCAGCTGTTTTTTAGGGACCGGGTCTCTCTCTTGCTCAGGCTGGTCTCAAACTCTTGAGTTTAGGCAATCCACGTGCCTTGGCCTCCCAGAGTGCCATTACAGGTGTGAGCCACCACGCCCAGCCCTCAGGCTGAGGTTTTTGAAAAATCAGAAGCACAAAGGAATCCTTACAATTTGGATAGATTCTATGCCTCCCTCCCCACCACCCCCTGGCCCCAAAACCATGGATGATGAGGTTTTTGACCTCCAGAAACAGCAGGTTCATATAACTTAATATTTAGTCCTCAGGACTTTCCAATGAAGTGGGTAGTTACTCCTGTTACAGCAATGAGGGTCAGACTTGGTCAGATTCATCAATTATATGCTAAACCAGGGATTTGTATCCAGGTGGACTCCAAAGGTGATTTTCTCCTGTTTATATCGCCTGAAAAACTGATGGGAGACCTCACCAAGGACCAAAGAAAACGTGATCAAAACCCACTTGATAAACTCAGAGCCTGTAGCACAGTGGTTATGGCGCCAGTCACATACACCGAGGGTGGCGGGTTCGAACCCAGGCCAGGCCAGCTAAACAACTGCAACAAAAAAAAAAGCCAGGCATTGCAGTGGGTTCCTATATTCCCAGCTACTTGGGAGGCTGAGGCAAGAGAATCTCTTAAGCTCAAGAGTTTGAGGTTGCTGGGAGCTGTGATGCAATAGCACTCTACCGAGGGTGACACTAAAACTGTCTCAAAACAAAAAACCCACTTGATGTCATAAAATCACCAGGAACTTACAGCAAAAGTTAGAGCCATCAAACATGCTTACTCTGAATCTTCATCAATGGTGCTCTGTTAATTGTGACTGAACATAAACTCCAAAGCCAGATTATTTGATCTGTCACTGACTGGCAAATTGCCTGTATATGTCTCAATTTTTTAGCTGAGAAATGGGGATAGCAATAGAAACTACCTAATGCAATTGTGAAGTTAAATCTCAAAGTGCTGGCTTAGTGTCTGTAGCTCAGTGGTTAGAGTGCCGGCCATATACACTAAGGCAGGCAGGTTCCAACTCAACCCGGGCAGACTTGCTAAATGACAACAACTGCAACCAGAATTAGCTGGGTGTTGTGGCAGGCACCTGTACTCCCAGCTACTTGAGAGGCTGTGGCAAGAGAATCACTTAAGCCAAGAGTTAAGAGGTTGCCGTGAGCTGTGATGCCATTGCACCCTACCAGGGTTACATTGTGAGACTGTCTCAAAAAAAAAAAAAATTGCAAAATGGTTAGAACAGCCCCTGGCATATAGTAAGTGCTCAAGAAATGTATTAGACTGGGTACAGTGGCTCACTCTTACTAACCCTAAACCCAGCACCCTGGGAGACCCAGATGGGTGGACTGCTTGAGCTTAAGAGTTTGAGACCAGGCTTGGTGCCTGTGGCTCAAGTGGCTAAGGCACCAGCAACATACACCTAAGGTGGTGGGTTCGAATCCAGCCCAGGCCCGCCAAACAATGATGGCTGCAACCAAAAAATAGCCAGGCGTTGTGGCAGGCGCCTGTGG